TTCACATTCTCTAGAAGACGTTTTCTTCCTCTGAAAGGCTTTCTTTGGTCACTTTTTGGTGCCCTTATCCTGAGTCTTTGAGGAGTTTGAAGTTATCAGTTGCCCCTAAGACATTGTATTGTTTTGTTTGGATAATCCTGGTTACACAGCACAAGCGTGTTGTTTTGCTTGCTCAATGGGTGAGTCTGAGTGTCTTCTGGTGGGTTTGCTAGAGGAAGGCTGTGAGCACACAGTTCTGTTAGCTGTTTGTGTAGAGCGGTAGAAGGCAGACGGGGCGAGGGTTGGTTGAAGCCTGTAGTCTGTCAGGTGGAGCAGAAGCTAGTCTGTATTCTTCCGATGGTGAAGTGGCAGAGGGATCTGTGTGTCGTCAATCAGGAGAAAGAAAAAAGGAAACAAAACCCAAAGAGAACAACAACAAAATAAACCCAAACCAAACCCCAAAGTGGACATTATAAGATAATAGAAAACCCCAAACTAATAAGTATATGAAAGGAAAGAGAATCCTAGTAAAAAAGCCAAAAAGAGGAAAGACAGACAGGGAGAAAGAGAGAATGGCCCAGAACACATGAGAGACAGAGAAGAGACAGTTGGAGTCTTTTCTTCATGGTGCTTATTCTGTTTTGTTTGCCTTCTGTTATCTTTTCCTCTTTCTCTTCCTAGAATGAACTTTTCAATGATTTCGTTTTACTCAATCTACAACCAATACCCCTGGTAACAACAGTCAAGAAATCAAAAGGCATGCGTGCTGCATTTGGATAAATCTACTAAGGACCTTTAAAGTGTTAAAGAGCAATGATATCAGCTTAACGATTAGGGTGTTTTCAATTGTTTCTTATGTATCTAAGAATAAGAGAAGAATTGATGGGTTTGAATTCTGTTGTTGGAGAAGAGCACTGAATATCCCTTGGACTGTCAAAAGAACAACCAGCTGTGTCTTGGGCAACCAGGGGTGCTCTTCAAATGCAAGGCTGAGGAACCTTGGTCTCACGTATGTAGGGCATGTTGTCAGAATGGCCAGTTCACGGAAAAACATATCAAGCTGGGAACTGTGGAGGGTCAGAGAAAGAGAGGAGGCCCCTCAACCAGAAGAAATAACACTGTGACTGTAAGGGTGGGCTTGAACATATCAGAGACAGTGCGGCTGGCGCAGGATAGGGCAGGGCTCAGATCTCTCGTTCATAAGGTCGTTGTCAAGTTGAGATCTCCTAACAACAACAAAGATAAAAATTAAACAAGCAAACAAAATAGGAAAAGCAATGGGAAATTGAAGATGCCTCCCTTGGAGGGGGTTGGGCTCAAGAGCTTCCGTCACTGTGGTGGTGGAAGGCAGCAAAGTGGCCGGTCTGACAGTTGTCCGGCAGCCCACCGAAGTCGGGGCTGTCCTATCTCTCTCTGCTGTAAGAATGGCCCTCTCTCACAGTTCCAGGCATCTGAGCCTTTGGACACCCCTGTACCCATCTTCCTGGGCCTGCTGATGCCAGGCCTTTTGAAGGTGCCCTGGACTTCAGAAATGTCTTCTCTATATGTGAGGAAGGCTGTGAGGATGATGAATCGTGGAATTCCCTCCCTCTTTTTCACCCCATCACCACTGCTCTGACACTTTGTAGTTCTTATAAACACAAGTTACCTCTTTTTGTGTAAGCGAAAGAAATACCGTCAAGACTGAGGAAGACCCGTAAACTTAGGGGCCACGTGAGCCACGACCACGGCTGCATCAGGAAGCACCGGAAGCACCCTGGAGGCCGAGGTAATGCTGGTGGCTTGCATCACCACAGGACCAACCTTTGACAAAGACCATCCAGGTTATTTTGGGAAGGTTGGTGTGAGACATGACCACCTGAAGCGGAATCAGAGCTTCTGCCCAACTGTTAACCTTGACAAGTCATGGACTTTGGCCAATGAGCAGACAAGCGTAAATGCTGCAAAAAACAAGACTGGAGCTGCTCCGATCATTGATGTGGTTTGATCGGGTTACTACAAAGTTTTGGGGAAGGGAAGGTCCCCAAAGTAACCAGTCATAGTGAAGGCCAAATTCTTCAGCAGAAGAGCTGAGGAGAAGGTTAAGGGTGTGTGTTGGGGGGGCCTGTGTCCTGGTGGGTGAGGCTGTGTTAATTACATGGAGGTTGGTTAATGAAATGTTTTCTCCTTAAAAGAAACCAGCCAACCAACAAACAATAACACACACACACACACACACACACACACACACACACACACACTACACAGCTGACAAGGGCTGTGGGCAGCATCCTACAGCCTACCTTGGCCCTGGCCTCTACAGACTGGACGGTGATGTGAGTAGTTAACAGGGCACCTGCTCAGAGCCCATGGGGCCCAGATCTTCTCGAGGTCACCCCATTGAAACACTCAGGATCCCAAACGCAGTGCACACATGGACCCTACCGCCCTGTGGATCTAGTCAGGTGACTTCCTAGGTCAAACTCTGGGGTCAAAAGGCCAGGCCGATCACAGAGGTCGGTGGCTGTAGCTGGTCTAAGGCACCCTGAAGTATGGTGAAGGAGATGCTGTGGGGTATGGGGTTCAGACCTGACACAGGACTGACCTCAGGACTGGATAGGCTGACTGCCCATCTGGTATGGTGTGGTTAAAAGATGAGGTACAGGCTGGTGGGTGCTTGGGTGCTGAGGTATAGACAGTGGGCCTTAAACACTGACTCCCTGGCCAGGGTGCAGGGGGACATTGTTACCTTCTGGCCAAGAGGCCTGGGATAACAGGACAGGGGACTTTGTTTCCATTTTTGAGGTCTGGACCATCTGGTAGAGATAGACAAGACACATCTCTTTTAACACTGTGCACTGGGGAAATTGAGCCACAGAGTTGGGGGGAGTGCACTAGCCTGCCCGGGCTTCTGGGCATCTGCTGGGCAGCAGGGCAGGAGATCAAGGGCCGAATCTGTCCAGTCCCAAGGAGAACCTCTCACCCCTCTGTGTCCTGTGTGCCCCATCCATGCCTCTGGAGGCCCCCCCCCCTCACCGCATCTGGCCTGGCCATTGTGGGAGCTGAGTCACCTTCACTTTCCAGTAAGGCCCTGGGCAGCTGTTGGGTCAGGCGAGTGCCACTGCTGGGAGTAATGGATGGACAGGTGACATGCCTCTTGCCTACAGAGCTGGAGAGGTGTAATTGGTACTGTCTGGTGCCTTGCCGTGTTGGGGATGCCTGTCCTCTGGGGTGGAGACCAGGATGTGGCCTGAGGCTAGCATCTCCACAATCTCCCTGAGGGGCCTTCCCTGCCCCTTCAGCTGCTTGTATCTCTCCCTGGCTGCGGCGATGGCCTGGCTGGTGGGGTGTTTCACCAGCGGAGCCTGCCTGTCATGTTCTTTTCATCCTCTCCCATCCCATGCATGAGGGACTGAGCTGTCACCCAAAGGGCCTGGTTGCTGACCCCAACAGAATGTCCAGGGACCCTCCTATCCTGGAAGCACTGGAAGGGGCTGGCCAGGCACAGGGAATGGGGAGGCTGCAACCCCTGGCCACCAGGCTTACTGATAGAGGTTTCTGGCCTCGATTTCCCCACATCCATCCCTGAGAACTGTGGGTTTGGACCCTAGGGGCTGGGACCCTGGGTGACTGAGACCCCCACCTGGCCCCTCTTGCACCTGAACACCACTGCTCACCGGAGACACCCACCCCTCCCACCGAGCAGCCCCAGGGGGTTCTAGGAGGTCCAGAGGACTCTCTAAGCATCTAGGCCCGAGCCCTCTCCCTGCCAGGTTTGTCCCTGCCTGCTGACGCTAGAATCTGACTGCCTCTTGGTCTGGAAATCTGGCCCAACTCAACCAACTCCCACTTTGTTTTTTCCTTTTCTGCAAAACAAAGTGCAAAAAAGTACAAAGGATACTATAACAAGCACCTGCCACCCGAAACAAACACATTCAATGGTTATCATGGTTCCTGCAGACTGTTTGTCCAAGAAACCATGATGCTGGTGACAAAATGGGGTCCTCCGCCCTGCCCCCAGTGCTCCGCCCTCTTAGCGCCCAGTCCAATGTCCACGTGGTCCCACTTGGGCTCTGGCAATGTCAGCCTCGCTCCTCGTCTTGTGTGCTCCTGGAGGGCTGTGTGGAGGGGATGCACACCCACCTGCCTCTGTGGGCCCAGGCTTGTTCCTCGGCTTAGACCCCAGTGTTAGAATGATGGTGACAATCTTTCCTTTCTAGGACCTCCAGGGACGAGGTGGTAGGTGCTAGTACAGCCTGTGGCTGAAAGAACTCATGGGATGAGAAAGAGAAAGAGGAAAAAGGAGATGAAAGTTGAGGAGGGAGGGAAGAAGGATGTGGAGGAGGGAAGCAGGAAGGGGGAAAGAGGATGGATGAGGCCTAGAGAGAAACAATTGGGAGGTAAGAAGATGGGAAAGGAGGAGGAAATGGGAGGGAAGAGGGAAGAGGAGG